GCTGAACCAACAAGTTGATATTTTGTTCATATATATGATTTATCCTATTTATTGATCTTTTTAATAATATAACATTATGTAGGAGCCAACTGCAGAGGATTATGTGCCATTAAAAGTGAAAAGTAGTCCTCAGAAAAGTCGTGCAGGGTTTCAGGCAGAGTTAGTGTGTCTTACACCTTGGGTTAATGGAGAGACACCAGGTCATATCACTGCCTTAAGTGTCAACTCTTCCTATGGCTTGTGAGTTAGAAATCATATTTTTGTATTTTCTACTAATTTAGTTATTAATATTTTTATGAAATCCATATTTTTTTCAAAGAGTTATTTATTGTTTTTGTTTATATCTACATGAGAGAATTTACTACAGATACAATCAGGTAGCATTCATGTAATTTTTTAAATAAAACATTTTTGTACAAGTCAGCAAAATTGAAAATAATTGAATATATAAGACAAATAATTCTTCTTGTAGAATGGCGTATGGGAATGAATGTGGTTTGGTTGTTGTTAATCTAATTCAGAAAACATGTTTATTGAACATGGGTACTCCAGACCTTTATGGTGAATGAGCATTTTATGTTTGTCAAAATATAACATTTATGTGTAGAAAACCATTACTCTTTTAGTAAATTGTAAGAAATAAATATTCTTTAAAATTCATCTGTATGGAAACATATCATGCACTGCAGTTAAAGTCTGCATATAAAAATAATTTTATTAATTGAACTGCTTGTTAAGTACTTCATTTCTGTGCATTTCATTGTAGTAACTGAATAATACAATACACAGCAAACTGAAAGATGATCATCTTTATCACCTAGCTTTCTTTGTGAAAGTTATTTTTTTGAAAGGAAAAGGAAGACTAAGAATTACTTGTACCACAGGTTCAGCAGACCCATATCGAAGAGTGGCTCGATCACCAAAAAGAAATATCACTGTAGCATCAAATGACAACAGATCTTTAGAACAGGACAGCTGTTGCTCACCGTCACCTAATCAGGTTTGAGAATCATGCATTTATA